GAAAAAATATTTAATGTATTCCTTTGTGTCCTTAGGATCTTTTTGAGCAATTCGGGATGATTTGAAAATGCCTTAAAAATGAATGACAACTCTACTAGAAAGTGTATATTTCACAGTATCATTAAATATTGATTAAGCAACCACTATATACAGAACACTGGGTTGGTGGCCAAGAGCACAATGAGATCATAAAATTTAGACTTGAATATTTTTAAAGAAACCCTTTCAAAACTGGGTTTTCATTCTCTTTCATGCACAGACTACTTTCACAACTATTGCCTAACAGGAGAGAGAGAGATTATCCATCTAGTTTTGATCAAAGCTAAATTCTTTAACATGGCTTACAAGCCTTCGTAATTGGTCAAGTTTCCACCCACCTCTCTAGTTTTGTCTCTCACTCCCTTCCTCCTTGAACAACCCTGAAATTTCCTTAGTTCTAGTATGCCCTGGCTCCGCCCCACCAACCCAGGCCTTGTGCATGGTTGATTCCTCTACCCAGATGAGATTCTATACATTCATTTACTTTTTATTTATTTAGCCACTCTTATGGAGCAAAGACACGCTTTTTAAATAGGCATTTCAAGCATGTTAAAGTTTCTCAATTTCTGGGCCGGCCGAGTGGCGCCTTGGTTAAGAGCTGGCTTGGGACGCCAGAGGGCCCCGGTTCGGATCCCACATATGAGGGCCAGTGACACTGCCCTCTACAGCTAAGATGCCGAACAACAGCTCAACCTGGAGCTGGGCTGCCGTGAGTCGCCGGCGATGGCGTAGGCTGCAGCCCGTGCTGCATAGGTTGCCATGGGCTACCGTGTGTAGCCAGCAGCCAGCGTGAGCGGCCAGCAGCCGCCGTGAGCGGCCGTCCAGAAGTCGGCGACTGATCTGCCTCGCCCGGGGAAGAGCGCGATGATGGTGCCAACTTGGGCCAGTGAAGTGACGTCCTCCACAACTAGACTGAAGAACAAAAGGACAGCAACTTGTCTGTTTCCCATCCCCCAATTCCCCAGCGCTGTTCCCATCCCCCAATTCCCCAATATAAATCTTTAAAATAAAATTTTTTTTTAAAGTTTCTCGATTTCTGACACCTCTTTCTCTATTCGTAGCAACTCAGATTAATTTTTCTGATGATTTCTAGTTGTAGCAAAAGGGGCTACATTTCCAATTCCACAACAAGGAGAGAGAACCCTTTTCATTACCCTTTAAGGGGAACAGAATCAGATTATGACTCTTTTCAAAAGATCCAACTGTTCAAAGCAAAAATATTTTGAAATAGAAAAACTGGAAAATCCAGTTATTTTGCAATCATCGAAAAACAGGATACATATCTGCTCTGATCAAGTCCCTCAATTCTTTTTGTTGTTGTTGTTTATGGCAAAACTAATCTGATCACTCCTTTCTTGCTTTTCTATTTAACTTGCTATCTGATTCCCCAGTGGCAGATTTATTGACAAATATAGCAATACAAATACAAAGAGCTATACTGAAATATAATCTCTATATACTTAATTAAAAACCTTACATGTTTAAAAAAAAACTTCTAGCATCACATTATCTTCTTATATAAGGCATGAAATAAAACATTGTTAGTTTATGGGTTTACTGTGCCAAAACCTTTTATTAATCTCTGAAAACATTTTAGTTATAGTTAAGTATATAGGTGTCAAATATCTCTACACAAATATTATTTTTTCCTATGTGTTTCTATAGCCACAAATAGGAATACTATCAACTCCCCTTTCAGAGGAAAGGAAAAAGCTCATTTTAAAGTACTTTACAATTATTGAGAACTATACAAGTACTACTTTACAGAGATAGTGAGTTTTTAGTTCTAAATGCTTCCTCTCTTTTTGTTATAGTCTTTCGCTTTTTTCTTTGGTAAGCAACTGGGTTTCAATACTAAACGTGTCTGAAATTTCTAAGTTTTGTTTAGGTCTTTACATTTTTTTTCTATTACAAATTTCAGGCGCCTTAAAGAAAGGTTGACAATTTTATTGCATTAATTATTTCTGTATTGTTGGGAGAAAAATTTAAAAGCAATCTAAAAGAAGAAAATAGCTCGTAAACAACTGGTTTCTTTACAGATGGGAAAGAGCTCTTAAGGAAATGCATATTTAGGAATCTCATTTAGTTGATGGCCAACTTACTTCTAATCTCTGTTAATACATGTTTGCAGGAAATACAGTCCATGGAATTATGCAGTTAGAATACTTGTGAGCACTGGTTCCTGTCTGGTACAGTGCAAAGGTCTCTGGAAGTGGAATCAGGAACATGGGGTTCACATCAAATCTGCCACCTACTCTCCGCAACACTTAAGCCACTTAAGAAAGTCCCTTAGAAGGGCTGGCCGAGTGGCTCAGTTGGTTAAGAGCTTGCTCAAGAGTTTGAGCTCTGAGCAACAGCGGTTCGACTCCCGGCCCGAGCTGAGCTGCCAACAGGTGGCAGGATGTCTCAGCTTAAAAAAAAAGAAAGAAAGTCCCTTAGACTCTGAACACCAGTTTCTCATTTGTAAAACGGAGATAATGTCTTTCTTGTAAGCTTGTTATTAGGAATGTGATGTAATATATATGAAAAGGCTTTGTAAAACAGAACCTACAAAAATAAACTATAATGTTTACCATGAGCTCAAAAATTCCCATTAGATATTCTGCCAAAAAAAAAATAGTTTAATATGTATTTTGTGTTCTTGTTCCCTTTTCACATGTATATGTGCTAAATCCTTCACTAGGTTATAAGCTCCTTAAAGCCACAGTGAGCATACCGTTTCTTCTCATGTTCTATGGATTACAGGTAACTAATGGATGCTCCAAAGGCTTTATTGAAAGATATTCTCTCTTCTTCCTCAGTTCCAATAACAAGCAAATAGTCACTACTGTCAAAAGTCTCCTTTCACCTACTCTGTGTGTAAACCTCCCCGCTGTAATCCATGCCTATTTTCACATAGTCTAGCCTCCAAACTCATGGATAATTGGCAGGTGGGCATTGGCTTAACAAAAGTCTTTATCACTGTTACCAAACTCTCTTCAGCTGCAAGACAGAATCCTTGGTTCTCAGTCTAAATCTGTTTCTCTTGCAATTAATCCAAATCAAGCAGGATTAACCACATCGTTAGCCCCAGGAAGAAAAGAGGAGTGCCTGCTGGCTCACTAAAGATTCCTAGAGCCAAGGAGTTCCAGAAGGAAGTCCACCCCTGCCTGGGCGACTAAAGGGAATATGTACATCGACATAAAGTATCTGGAGGAAATATGGACAGTCACAAAAAGGACACAACTGCGGACACCACAATCAAAAGAAAGGGAAAGTGAAGTGTTCCCAAGGCACTGATGTTCCCTTAGACGACCGATGAGAGGCTCTGGTCTACCATGATGCTTAATAAAAGGTCTTTATTTAATAGGTAAGTTGGCATTGGCTCCTAGTAAAACACTTTGAAAAGCTCAAGGGATGACAAGGCAGGGATGGCTACCGCTCAGTCTCTCTCCTTGGATCCTATAAATGTGCCTACCTGATCTGCCCTCTCCCCAAAGTAATCCTATATTCTTTTCATGAGTCTTTTAATAAGCAGGCCCATTCCAACGCACCTTGTAGGTTTAAAAGAGGCGTATTTTTAGCGTAAAATACCTCTCCCAGTCTTTGAAAGCCATATGATGTGGCTTTCATTACAGAGCCATAGGACGGCTCAGCAATCCTCAGGCTCCGGGTAAACACGTGTGCCCGCAGCCAGCTACGGCCCACACTGCGTTTCAGCACCGCCGCCTCTGGATAGCGCCTTGCTGGCCCGCCGGGTCAGGGCCTCCCACCGTCACTTCGCCATCTCCAGCCCACTCCTTTTCCTCTTCTCGTTTCCCTCAGTGCGTGAAAAAAAGCACCCCCAACTTCTAACCTCGCCTCAATCCTGCTTCCAAAGTGACCTCCGCGTCCCTCCCTCAGGGTCTAAACGCGCACGCCCCCGCGCCTCTGAGTCCTGCCGGAGCAGCAGCATAGCCGCGTCGTTTACCCAACGGTGGCCCAAGTTCTCCGACTGATCTGGCTCACCTTTCCCTTGTCTCTGCTAATCCCAAACCAGCAGCCAGGGGCCCCCTTCTCGCTCCCTCTCTCCAAGCCCCAAAGCCTCCACGAAACAAACGGCTGGATGATGCGCTTTCCCACCGCCCCAACTCGCGCACGCGCGCGCGCACACACACACACACACACACGCACACGCACACTCGCACGCCGCAAGCCTCCCGGGTACCATCGCCCTGGGCAGAGCCTAGCCAACTTGGGTCCCGATCCATCAACAGCGTCTCGCAGAAGGCCGCCCGCAGCGGTCGCTCCGCCCCCTCCCCTTCCGGGGCAGAAGGTCCAGACAGCCAAGCCCCAGCTGGCTAACCGACCCCCACCCCCACCCCATTCATTTAGCCATCCACCTCCCGCGGGCAAAACACGGTCCACCACCTTCAAACATTTCGCCCCTGGGGGTCGCCCCAACCAATCAGCCAAACCCTAAATTAATCTCCTTGAAGCCCCAGCCCAATTACTGGTGTGTTGTGTGTGTGTGTGTGTTTGTAGCTCCGAGGCATATACATCATTTAACTCCTTCGAGCTTTCCACCCATCCTAAACAAACAGCACGTTATCTCCAACCTCCCCCTTCTCCCTTCTCGGCGCCCAAACCTCTGCCCCCATCCCGATCCTCGTCAGCTAAGTAGCCAAACCACCGCACAGCCGCACCCCAGTTCTCGAACCTCGACCTCCCACCCAGCCTAAGCCAACACTCACCTCCCGCCCCGCCCCTCCCCCACCTCTTGGCCCCCAGCGAGCCGGGTCTGGCCCAAGCAACTGACGCCTCGAAAGCGCAGTCTGCGTCCTCTCCCGGGAGCCCGGGAGGGCTGACCTCCCACCAGCGGGATCAGGCTGGGCACCCCCTCCTATGGGCCACACGCCTTCCTGTTCAATCGCCCTGGAAAACACAGGTGCCGGGGAAAGGACAGGCGGAAGCAGCCTCCGAGGGTGGGCGGGAGGACTCACCGAACATCTGAATGTGCCCTTTGGTGATGGGATTGAAGCTGCCGCAGGCAAGCAAGATAACGTGGGTCTTGGTGGTCTCCGTCATTGTCCCGGTGGGCGCCTCACGCTGATGCAGGGATCGCCCCTCTTTATGTTGCTGGTATGTCTGAGAGAGAAAGGAAGGCGAGCCTCCTGGGTTGAGTGCTGTGGACTCCAAGAAGCCGTTCTAGACGCAAAACGCGTCACTCCCCGCCTCCCCTTAACGCTTGGAGCTCCGGCAAGATCCGAGGCTGCTTTTGTAGTGCTCAGCTCCGTCCTTGCCTTTTCTTTCTAGCTTCTTTTTCGTCTCTCGTCCTGGTCCCCCACCCTTCCTTTATCTCACCCCCACCTCACTCCACCACGCCCTCTTCTTTCTCAGTGTTTATCTACAAGACAAAACGTGGTATCCAAGTCGAGAACCGTGAGTGCTTATAGAATGATGTGAGCTCTAGCTCTTACCTCCTGCTGATTCAGTTTTCCTCCCTCATTCTAACATTATTTTCTGTCCACATCTGCTTTCTCTAACATTTCCAGCTCCAAGAGTGTTTAATCTTAGGAACTGTTTTTTTTTCTCTCTTCCTCAGAATAAGTGAGAAAAGACAATTGTGCATTTCAGGAGGATTCATTTCTGCCTTTCTTTTTCCCCTTATCTGACGATTTTGAACTACTGAACTGAGTCCAGATCTTGACCTAGTGGTTGCCAAGAAATAGGGGAAACCTCAATCCTTCTCCTGGTATATTAATATTGGTCCTTTTTGTGGACTGAAGCAATGATATCAGATTGGGAGAAGATGGATGGGACACTTACTAAAACTGTATTAGAAAACAATTGTGATCTCACATAAGCTATCAACTGTGAGACAAAGATTTGCCCATTCAAGTGTTTCTTTTTAAAAAAAAATTTTATTGGGGAACAGTGTATTTTTCCAGGACCCATCAGCTCCAAGTCAAGTAGTTGTCTTCAATCTAGTTGCGGAAGGCACAGCGGCCCATGTGGGAATCAAATCGGCAACCTTGGTGTTATGAGCCTGTGCTCTAACCACCTGAGCTAATCGGCCACCCTTAGGTATTTCTTGAGTGCTCACTGTGTTAGACTGTTATAAACCGGCTGAGAAAGCACAGTGCTGTCTTCGTTGAGTTTACATTCTGCTGGAAGGAGACAGACAACAAACGAACAGAAGACAAATATTAAGACGGCAGTTGCACAAAGCACAATAAGTAAATGCAATGTACTCTCTGACATAACCAAGAGTGAATGGAGGAAAGCAGACAACTTTAAATCACATACAGAAGGCCTCTCTGGGGAGGTAAAATTTAAACTGACGTAAATGGCAAGGAGTTGCTAGTGCAAATATTTTAGGACAGGGAAGGTTTTATTGTGCTCATAGAATTGAAAGAAGGCCAGTTTGAGTAGAGTATATGAATAAAGGGTAAAATTCTGAGAGAAGATTGGGCTTGTGATCGGGACTGAATCAAGTAGGGCCAATAGGCTAAGATAGGGTTTGGATGTTTTCTAAGTAGAATTAATTCAGAGAGGAACAAAAAAGGAATTCATTGAAACTTTTAAGCAGGGGAATGCTAAGTAATTTACACTTATCTGGCAGCTAGGTAGAAAATGGGAAGGCAAAGACAGCGTGTAGGAAACTGCTGGTAGTCAAGGCAAGTGGAGTAGGATTAGGATTAGGATTTACAGAGGTGAAGTTGAGGAGAAGCACGCAGTCTCAGGATAAGTTTTTTAAGTAGAGTTTGCCGTCTTTGCAGATGGGTTGGATTCGGAGGATGGGGGAGAGAGACATCCAAGAAAATGTCTAGAAATTTGGTGTAAGCAAATAAGTGGACTGAGATTAAGAATGATGGGGAAAACGTTTGAAGGGTGGCTAAGTGTTCTATTCTGCTACACTAGATAGACCTAATAATTCTTTTTTTAAATGGCCTCTTAAAAAATTGAGTTTTCATTGACATATAACATTGTATTAGTCTTAGGTGTACATAATAATTCTGAACATAGAGATCCATAAGTACAAATATTTACCTTTCCTGGGCTTCAAGATTCTTGGGTAAATTGCTAACCTATATTAGTGAGTTGGTCATTGCTTCTTATCCAAGAGCATATAGTAGGTGTGCAGTAGATATTTGTTAAATTAGGATGAATAACAAATCAACTCTAACATGCATAACATTTCTAGTTTAACTACAAGAGTCCTAAGAATTGATGTATATTGATAATGGGTTTGTATCTTCTCTGACATGGGATGCAGGTTAGTGGGGTAGAAAGAGCAAGAGGTTGAAGGAAGGCTGACTTGGATATGATACATAGGCTGACCTAGCTAGGCAATGAACATAATTATACTTAAGCAATAAATATTTATTGAGGCCGGTCATGTACCAGGCACTTGATTTAGGGGCCATGCACAAAACAAAGTCCCTGCTTTAATATAGCTCACATGATAGAGGGGAAAACAAAACAGGCCATTAAAAAAATGAATAAACCTAATGGTAATAGATACCATGAGGAAGAAAGCAGGGTAAGAAGGAAAGGAAATCCTCCTTTATTTAAGGTGATCGAGGATGACGCCTCTGATATGAAGGTATTTGAGTAGAGAAGAAGGAAGCATCGCTTGCTAATTGTATGGCTTTGGGCAAGTCACTTATTACTAAGACTTTATTTTGTCAATGGACATAATATATTATGTGCCCAATGTACTGTCCAGGGGTGTTATATGGATTAAATCAGACCATGTGTGAGTAAAGGACTTTCTTTTAACACATATTGTCAGCTTTAGGTCAAACTCCACAGCTGTTACACACAAAACATGTTTGTTTGTTTTTTACGTGTTTAGATTGTTTATTGATGGCTGTGTCAAGGATGTTTCTGGAAGTTCCAATGTTAGCGAGTAACGGCTTTGGGAATATGCCAATAGTGTATATATTAACCAATGAAAACAAATAGCCAAAAACATACAACAAATTTACTTTTGGTGAGGAGTCTAAGCCTGATTCATAAGACATAGAAATATTGGGTTGTCGGAAAGGTCATGATGTATTTTTGCAACAAAAAACATAGAAAAAATATGTCATGACTTTTCTGACAACCCAATAGGAGTGTCAACTGTTGCATAATGCATTTACCCAAAAATACATAGTGATCTATTCTCAGGGGTGCTTATTTTAAGTTAGGTAATACAATTTGGTCCAATATTTCAACTTTCCAACAGCTGGGTAATTGCTTCAGGCTGAAAAGGAACCAGAGTCGTTCACCCTCAGCCTAAATCTTGCAATCTGTTCTAGCCAGTTCAGTTTCCAAATGGCTCAAAGCAGACAACCCACCCCAGAACTTTCCCTGTTGTAAATATCTGTTCTGATGGACAGGCTTAAGTGTCCACTGGGTCTGATTTGAAATGTGCATATGTAAAATCTAACAGTGGAGGGTATGTATGCTTACTTGTCTTCCTATTTACCTAGTCCAGGTTAATCATCCATTTGCATCACAGATCAGGATGAAACCATTTCATGTTTATAAAGCTGAATTCCAAAAAAAATGTTAGGCATCATCCTTTATAGGCAGAGCAAAAAGGTACAAACATAGACATGGCTCCCTCAGTTCCTGGGATCAAGTCAGATATTGAATATTTTATGTTCTCCTGGTAAAAATATTATTCTGAGAAAATCATGACTCTTTAAGATTCGCTACAGTTCTCTATATTTGCATAGTTCTCTCTCCTCTGCTTTCTCCACTTCTTTTCAAGATAAACATCTTTAGGGATACAGCTAAAATGATTGGCATTACTCTCCCCCTCTTCCCACATGTAAATAGTTTTACATCTATAGAGTGAAAAATGTCCCTAGATCCAGGTCCTCCTTCCTTCAGCTCTAACTGCCCCAAATCTCACGCAGATTTATAATTTCTTTAATTATTCAAATCACATTTCACAAATGAAAGATGTTTTCCAAATTTATTATTTATTTAAAGATTTTACTGGGGATTTGGGAAAAAGGAACAGTGTTGGGGAATTGGGGAAGGGGAACAGCCAAGTTGTTGTCCTTCAGTCTCAGTTGTGGAGGGCGCAGCTGGCTCAGCTCCAAGTCCAGTTGCCATCCTGCCACCGGTTGGCAGCTCACAGCCGCTCAGCTCAAGGTACGGTGTTCAATCTTAGTTGCAGGTGGGCATAGCCCACCATCCCATGTGGGGGTCAAACCGGCAACCTTGTTGCTAAGAGTTCACGCTCTAACCACTGAGCCATCTGGCCGCCTGTTGGCTGCTCAGCAGCAGCTCAGTTCAGGCGCAGCTCACTGGCCCATGTGGGAATCCAACCAGCGATCCTGTTGCTCAGAGCTCACGCTCTTAACCAACTGAGCCCCTCGGCAGGATGTTTTCTAAATTTAAATCCTGGTAAGCAATTATAAACATGGCAATACTGCTGGCACCACAGTGAAAGGAGAAAAGGACACAGGTCTTTATAACCAAGAAACCCTGTGTACCATTAAAAAGAACAAATTTCTTCAGCTGACTCAGTTGTATGCTGGTTTATTCCTCCTGGCTTCTTTAGATGTTGGCGGGGAGGGTGTGCACAAATCGTTATTTTCATCTTGAGACCGAAGGGCTCATTACTTATCACTTTTTCCCAAGAGCAGAAAGAGGAGAGAGAAAAATCAGTTCTAACAGACTTAGGATGATAACTGAGAAGAAGTAAAAGTTTTCCGTGAAATGACACCTGAGAATACCTCTGCCTCTTTCCTTTGACAGAGAATATCTTTGTCACCCAAATGGAAAACATATTTGGCTCAAGGGAGTGTTAAGTAAAGGATAGGGAGCTTAAAATACAATTATGTTTTCATTACGTCCATACCTCACAATTTGATTAAGTCAAATCTAACCTAGAACTTTAATCCCATGACTCCCCAAATTTATGAGATGTAGAAAATAACAAGGGTACAACTGAGCTAAAAACTTGCCAGTCATTACAAATTTCAGAGGAAATGGAGGTATAAGAATAATTTGCAGCGGGTTGGCCCTGCTAGCTTCTCTTCACAACCCGTATTCATTCTGTTGCTGTCCCGGTACAAACTGTAGAGAGAGGAGTGTATTAGCTCACCTGGAGTCAAGGTTGGCCCAAGGTTGGTAGCCGTACATTTTTAGATTTTATAAGTTGCTTGTATTACTCAGGACTATTTCAGAAATCCATCGCAGACACTTAAACTAGCTTAAGCCAGAGAGAGAACTGATGGATCTGTGTGATTGACAAGTTGTTCTGTGTTCTTTTATGGCATGGTGGGGGCACAAGGGGCGGCCCAGCAGAGGC